GGAAAGATGCATTAAATGCAGGAAACCAGGGTCAAAGGAATGAATTACACATAAAGAAAAAAAAAACTAAAGGATGCATATCAAAAAAGAGGTAGGAAGGAAGGAAGGAAGGAAGGAAGGAAGGAAGGAAGGAAGGAAGGAAGGAAGGAAGGAAGGAAGGAAGGAAGGAAGCTTATCACAAGAGGTAGAGAATGAAGGAAAAAGGACCTGTGGTTTTAAGGAAGTGAGGAAGGATGAATGGAATACAAGAGAAGGAAGCAATGAAGGAAGTAAGCAATGCATGAGAGGAAGGACACAAAAAAAGTTGTAGAATACAAGAAAGAGAAAAAAGACTAATGACAGACCAAAGCATGTCAGTTAGGAACAGTAAATGGAATAGTATACCAAGTCTAATACTAATACTCTAATTCTAATTTCTTATTTGGACCTAAACAAAACTAAATGATCTAAAAATGTTTCCTCCTCCTCCTGACTGTGTTGGAAACCGAGCAGATTATACTTTGCATTAGATCCAGATCTGCGCCTCTCTGCTGCAGTGAACTTGGAGAGTTTTAAAAATACCTTTTTTCTTGGCTCCCCAGTTAATGTGTGTGCTTTTGATGTCTGCTCACTGAGTCCTCTACCAGCAGGATGGGACCTGCTGTTTCCTAAAGATTACAGCCCACCATGCATCGCCTCTGCTTTTGCCAGCATTAAAATGAACACAATATAAATAGCAGTGGTAAATCCTAACCTCTGGCTGCTTCTCAGCATCTGAGGCGATAGCTGCAGCCAGAGAGCTGGCTACATGTGAAGCAGGGTGGGATGGGGACGGGCCTGCAGCACAGACAGCAGTCCAACAAGCACTAGAGCACCAAGAGGCTCCTGTCAGCTGGGCTCAGCTTTGACGCTGCCGCTGTCTGAGGTAGAGATGCAGAGATGTTTTATTGTCCTTACCAGTTTCTCTGCCCGTTGCCTCAGTTTCCTCCAGACCGTATGATGAGCCTGTAGAAAGAAACAGGGGAATGTGACATACAGACATGTGAGCAAATTATCCCTGCAACTATGGCTGAGATGTCATGTTTACTAATCAGTATCTGGGTTTGCAATAAAACCTAGAAAAACTTGAAGTGCATGGTGCCTATATCCAAATATGGTCAATTAGGAACCACTTAACGTTTGTTTAAATGAGATAAATATAAAAAGGTAGAAAAAATAAAAATCAGACTTTAAATATAGAAGAGGGTGAGAGGAAGAATGGCTGAATAGATAAGAGAGAAAGGAAGGATTAAGTAAGGGAAGAGGAAGGGACAGAAAGAAAGTATGGAGGATTTGTTAATAAGGAAAGAAGGGAAGAAGGAAGGGCTGGGTGAAAGGAAGGAAGGAAGGAAGGAAGGACTGGGTAAAAGGAAGGAAGCAAGGAAGGAAGGAAGGAAGGACTGGGTAAAAGGAAGGAAGCAAGGAAGGAAGGAAGGAAGGACTTGGTAAAAGGAAGGAAGGAAGGAAGGAAGACTGAGTAAACTGAGCAAAGCAGAGTAAATATTTCCACTGCACTAAAAATAAAAACTATTTCTGTCCTAACCTCTACAACATTTAGTCCATAGATCACTCCACACTTCCAACAATATAAAACTGTCCCTCAAACACTGAGCCGCTTTTACTCCTGATCTGACAGGATGCGTTTGCTCTGTGCAAATGTTCTCCTGACTGGAAGAAGTTCTTGGATTATCGTGGATATAAAAGATTTATGGATCAATTTTACAGGAATATAAAACTACTTCTGCTAAATTAGATACATCAAGCACACAGCGCCCCCTCCTGGTTAAAGCAGAGGGCGCTGTGTTTCACTCTGCATCCCAGGGAGCGATTGAAAACCAATAACATGAATTTCTGAACAAGTGAATAATCCATATTCACAACAAGTTAACCAAATTTATTATTAAGTCCTGCCAATATAAGACTTTGTGTTTTTAACTTTAATAAAACATTGCATAGAGGATTAAGTTTTAATCCAAGATAAACTAATCTTATTTGAACACGATTAAACTTCCCTAAAATAACAGGATTAGTTAATCTGCAGCTAAATCTAATAAAAAAAAGCTGAAGAATTAGCTGATCAGTAATTAGTTGGTCATATACCTGCAGCTGCAGTGGCAGCGAGAGGCCCTGAGCTCTGCGGTGGTGGCCCCAGGGGCCTTGACCCAGGCTGTGGAGAGCTGTCACCTCATACTGGGAGCACAGGCCTGTTCTGGCCACTAGGGGGCCCCCACTCAGCATCACATGATCACCACATCTGGAAAAAAAGAATAGAAAGTAAATTAAATTGAGTTTATAATAATACTAAAAATCATAATAATATAACTGATATAAATAGTAATAATATAATTATAATAATCACCTATAGAGCATAACGGTGCCTTTAGGACTGTGTGAAGCTTTCTGTTCTACTTCCTCCTGTTTACACCTGAGAGAAAAAAACAAAGTCAGAAAATAAACATCATTGTGGTGTTAAAGAGAGAGACCTGTGAGAGTCGGATCAACTCTACCTGCTATGAGAGAAAACCTCCAGCGCCACAGAGGGCGTGACCTCCAGAGGCTCCCAGACCAGATCCTGATGGATCAGCTGCTGGGCCCCTCGGGTCAGAGAGCGCAAGGTCTCCTGCAAATGGACAAACACTTTAACTCAGAAAAAAACTTTTTTTCCTCTTCAAAATGGCTCCGTTTTAATCTTCATTACCTCAGACGGGGTCCAGGAGTCCAGCTGAGGGTCGAGGACGACATCACAGCAGAAAGCCCCGGAAGTTACTGCAGGAGGTAAAAAAAAAAAGAAGACAAAAAAAAAACTATCTGAATAGCTGTCCTTTTAGAGAAATTCTAATAAAAAATTAATAATTTTTTCCCAAAAACTCAAATATGAACATTTTGAAAGGTATGTTCAAATTCTCTGTAATATATGCACCTTTTTGATACTGGATGGCATAACAGCAACACCAATAAGTTTTAAATTTGCTCTGATAAAGAGTATCAATCACTGCTGTCAGGTCAGCAGACTTCATATGTTTGTGCACCACTACTAGTGCAGGGCGCCCCCTGGTGGTAGGCAGCATTTTTAATAATGGAATTGAAATATAGGAACTCTAGAAATTTTTTTGTTTTAATAAAAAAGGAATATTACAAAGTATGGTTTGCCATGTTCTCATTATAAATGAAGTCATCTATTTCTTTTGTGCTACTTTTATCAGCCAATTAACTCAAAGATTGCTGCCAACTCATCCGCATGTCGCTCTATTTAGCAACTTTAAGAACCCTCTACTGCCTTAAAGGGGAGTGGTGGCCTAGTGGTTAGAATCCTGAGGTTGTGAGTTTGAAACCCACGCCCACAGACTGCCACTCTGGCTCTCTGAGCAAAGACCTTTAACCCCAGATTGCTCCCTGTGCGCTGGACAGTGGCAGCCCACTGCTCCCCAAAGGGGAGAGTAAATTTCTCAATTGTGAAATCAATAAGGTTCAATTTATCTTATCATTATTTCATTTATTCATTTATCTATTTATAGAGCTTTTTTTCCCTGTGTTTTTGGACACCTTGGCGACAATAAAGGTTTAATAGTTTTAAAGTTTTCGTTAGTTTTATTTGGTTTTGACTTCTGTTTTTTTTTTCTTATTCTATTTTCGTTTGAATTAGTTTTCATTGGCTAATTTAGTTTGTGAAATTTCTACTGGAAAGTAGACCTTATCTACCCATTATAAAGACTAACACACCTATGCACATCTCTAATAAATTCAGTTTAATTAGATTTGTAAACTCTTATTGCAGTTTCAGTTAGTTTATTTTTTTTCTTTCATGTTTTTTTTTCTTTATTTTTATTTTAGTAAACATAAATGCCCCCCCCCCATTCTTGTTTTTGTCGTTTCATTAGTTTTAGATAACCATTGCTCTGGAGTTTCCATCTACAGTTCAAATCTCTGTGCACACGTCACAGCGCTTAGTTCAAGGCAGCACTCAGATACTAGGGCCCAATCCCTAAATGGCCCCTAAACTCTAACCCTGAGCACTAACCCCCCATGTTCCCGTTCCTGCAGAGGGTCAGCCACATTAAGGACCGTCCCAAACCAATGTAGTGGGTAGGGCCAGTGGAATGTTCAGCCCTTAAATAGCGAGTCTGCATCAGTGCAGTGTAATTTATTCCAAAATGGAAGCTCCTCTTTGAAATAGTTTTTTTTTTTTTCACCGTATACGTTTGTTTTAAGAAAGGGGCAAATGCTTAATGTTATGTTAACCTGCGGCATGGGGTGTCTCTGTGTTGCCATGGCAACGTCTGCTTTAGTTTCCCATTGGAGGAAACAAGCCGGACCATTCACGTTTATACCCCCTCCCATCTTCAATCAAAGAGCCTTCCAAATCTGCGAGTGAGACTTCATTGGGAGTGACACTTCACGGTTAAGGGTTAGTGCTTAGGGGGCGGTCTGGTTTTGGGCCTCACACTAAAACCTACGCTACCTATGACGTGTGCAACTGGAGGAAGTGCACTTAAAGGTTTCAGCATCCAGGTTACAATCTTAAAGACTGGAATAGCACTTGAACCCCACAGCAATCCCTGTTTTTGAAATATTACTGCTAAAAAATATTTTTTAAACTTCTACAAGAAGAACATGTACAATAGAGTATGAATTATTTAGATAATTACCCGTCAAAAGAAGTTTTAAATAGGCACTGGAGCTCACTCTTCTGTTTTTTTAACCTAATTTACCAAATAAGATTATAAAATTCCAACAAGAATATTAACCTTGCATAAACCTACACACACAATTACAGATTAGAATAAAGAAAGCAATCATGGAGGAATAAGGAATAAGTGCTAGAGGAAAGAAAATTAAGATAAAGGCAATTTAAAAAATAAAAATATATTCAGGCATTTCATTGCATACTTTCCTTAAAGTTTTTTTTAAGTTTTTTTAAGTTTTGCTCATAAAAAAACAACATTTTAAGGAGTTGAGAACATTTTTCATTTTAGGCTATAAATATTTGAACATCAGAAAGACCAACTTAGACTGTCAATGTAGAATATATGAGCCAATTAAAAATGTGAAACATTTTAACTAATTTACTTTAGAAATAAGACAGAACATAAAGGCAAGACTTTCCTCCATAATTTAACACATTTTAATCTCGTCTTTAAGTTTTATTACCAGGGTTTATTTGGCTTGGTATTTTAAACTTGAAACGTTTAATACATTTAATACCATTGAGGTTTCCTCAATATTTTATAACTATTGAACAGAAAAGGCTTTATAAGATCAATTACTCAACACTACATTTATTATGAAGCATACTTTCTAAATATTTCACTTTCAATGATGATTTTAAACAGAGTGATCTTTATTATTTGATATTTAAGGAGCAGGGAATGGCTTTGCATTTTTTATTTTAGGAGGATTCAGTACATTTAAGCTTATGTTTATTCAGGTTGGTTAAATATTCCAAAAAATTACCATTAACATCTAATACATATTTAACGAAAACTACTACCTTAATCAAAAATTAAAATAGAATTTTTGTTGCAAAAATATAAAAAACAGAAGCTTATGAAGAAGAATTATTGATTGAATATTATTTTAGAGAAAAAAATTATGTTTGTTGATTATTTACAAGCTTTTTTATGTTTATCCAAACAGATTTTTTGCTTGAAAGGTCACATACAGCATGAGCTTAAATGCGCGCTTAGCCAAAGTGTGGATCGAGGGCGCCTAGGGGCGGGGCCAAAGACGGTTCTGGAGAACTGGAATGCACTAAAAACTCCAATCCTTGGTGGGAATACAAAATGGAAGAAAGCAAGAGCAGAAGTGCTTGTATTGGGAATGGGCCAAACATTGTAGGGTGGATCGATTATTCCGTTGCCTTTTATGACGACACTTCCCATCCCTCACCCTGAGGAAACGTAAACAGAGAGGCAGGCCAGATACGGAAGATTGTTTTAGATTAAATCTGCTCTCTATAGTCATTCACTCTCTTTCTCTTTTCAATATGACGGCCACACTGGGAAACTACTGTTGTTAAGGACTCAGTCCAGGTGTTCTTATTTCACTGCAGCTCATTTTACTACAATTACTTATATTATGTTCATTAAAGTTTTTTCTTTTCAAAAAGCAGTTTAGATTATTTATTTCTTCAAACATCAGTAATTATTTTTGTTTGCAAAGTTTTGCAAAATACATTCTATCTACTCTATATACTCCAAATATGAAGCTGTGGAAGTAGAAACAGTTGCATCTCCATTCCAAGTATTTATGTCGCAATAAGGGCTTATATTTTGGTTTTGGTTATAGTTGAAGATAACATGAGAGTTTGAAGTGATACAGAGAGAAAAATATGACAAATCCCTAACAAGAGATTTCTGCATTGCATCTAAATGTACTGCAGGAAGTGTTTCAGATGTAAGAATGTGTTCCTCAACCTGGCACTTCTGGGGTGCTGAGCAGCTCCACGGCGTAATCGTCCTTGAATGCCGTCTCCAGGACCTGTCCTAGCAGAGCAGCGCAGGAACGCCAATAAGCCTGAAAGGTAAAGGGCCGGATTAAAATCCAAAACATTCCCATTTAGCTCTCTTTCCAGAAAACTGGAACTTTTGATTTCTTGATGCACCTCATTGACGAGACTTGGGTCGCTGTCTTTAAATGTAAGCAGAGTGACGGAGCAGGAGTGGGTGAGGGGCTGATGCAGGGGCCACGGTTCTCCATCCACCATCGCCAGAGCCGAGTTGTTCACATGATGCTCAGTTAGATCTAAAGATACAGCATTAGTATTCAAGAAAAAAAAAATGATTTGGGTGTAGGTATTCTGGTCCTTTCCAATCTGACTTACGTCTAGCACAGCTCAGAGGAGTTGACATTCCTTTATTCATGATCAGGAGTGTACCGTCCAGTCCTGGTCCCTTCATGGACACCTCTATCTTCTCGATGCGGGGATACAGAGCTCTCTGCCTGGCCTGCTCTCTGGAGAAGACCGCGTTACGCTGACTGCGCACCTCTGCAGGAGATGGACGCACAGCTGCTGCAGCGGATGACAATCCTAAAAGCGCAGACAAGGCGAGAAGATTAAACGTTCCATTCAGATTTTATTTTTTTTTAGGAGAACAAAATGTATATTTCAGGCTCGAAAGGGTTCTCCCTTTCTCTCAATATTATATTAGCAACATTTTGTGGTAAGCTGTCCCTCTTCAGAACAACAAACTATATATACAGAGTGGCCATCTTTAATCAACCACAGGATCTCGAATCACATCTCCAAGAGCTTACAGTGAGCAGAGACTGTTACTAACTTCTGCAATCACTTAATTAAGTTATTTTGTTTAAAAATTTTTTCAAGTCCCAAACTATTTGACAGTCTAACACTTATTGATTCAATTAGGGCTGAAACTATTAATTGGATTAATTGATTATTGAAATAATCGTCAACTAATTTAGCAATCAATTCATCATTAACTAGTATAGAGACTCTAAAACATATTTAGCTGACAGAGCAGCAGTAAATACATCAAAAATATAAGATAAAATACAACTTATTTGTCTGTCAATATGCTCAGAAACTTAGTTTCTTTAATTTTGTGAAAAATCTTCTTTAAGGAATCTTTGGCTATCCGGTTATTAATGAGTTAATCGAAGAAAAAAAATTATTTACAGATATATTGATTTGCAAAATAATCTTTATTTGCAAATAACTATAAACATGGTTTATTTCTTAATAATTAAGAATTTTCTTCTCATTCCTCTTCGATACCATCTGTTATGATTTAGCAACTTGCACTTAAAGTGATGAGTTTGAAACCCAAATGCTGGAAAATTACTTTCCCCTATTTGATAAACAACATTGTGTGCATTTCTTACATTTGAAATTAGATCTAAATAACTGTTGTTAAATTTTAAGAACTGACAATAGGTTTGTTTAGCTGTAGCTCATGGAAAACACCCTAACCAAATGTCATCCTGTGTCCTAAAATGGGATTTATAAGACTTACTTAGGCTGATTTATTTTGTCATTTTGGATATAAGAGTGTAAACAAAAAGAAATTTCGTTTAAAACAGTTCTAGACAATTCAATTTTTTTTAAAGTGCAGCCTTGAAAACAGTAATAAATACATAAAAAATAGTAATATAAAAATATGACTGTATATTTACAGTTCTAACTTTCTTTTTTTATATTTATACTACACTATATTTATACTATATATTCCACAATGATTCTAGAATTCCTCTATATTTACCAATTATCGTTCATTTAAATATTTGAAGCTAATGCCATGACATTTTGCCTAAATCTCTCATGCTAACTAATGCTAACTGCTACTTACGTCTCTGGAAAATGTGACACACGGTCCTTGTCGCCATAGTTATGACTTTAAATACAAATTATAGAGAAAAACAAACTTAAAAAAGCTACAGTTAAAGAGTAAACAAATAAATGACAAGCTAGAAACCCCTATAGTTGAAGGACGCCATGCATAAGCTCTGTGCACCGCATATTTATGTCCGCCGTCCAGCAGAAACGAAAAAAGTTCCGCTTGACGTTTATAAACTGAGCTGCGATGTTACTTACCGCCACCAGGTGCCGCTGTTTAGACCTTGCTAACGCCCTAAATATTTTTTTTGAAATAATATTTGTGTGTTTATCAGTTGAATTGAGGACTTGACTTAAGTCCTAGATTTGATGACCTGAGGAATTACTTGATTTTAGCAGAATAAAGCAGTAACTTCACGTTAACTTGAGCACCAATGACTTGTAATAGTGTGACTTTACTTAAAAAGATGTATAAAATATTAATAACACTAAAACTGAATTATTTAATCCACATTTTTTGTTTACTAATGTCATTAATATTTTATTAGTAGTTGTTAATGACTTGAAATGTATGTGATAGGACTTGTCTTGACGTTAGACTTCAGAATAAACACTTCAATAAGACTTATCCTTAATTTGAGAATTAATTACTTCAAGGAACCTATTATATGTTAGAATACCTTTAAAAGGTGACGTTAGACAGAAAGTTTAACTTGCCAGTGGAACAAATAGATGTTCTTAATTGAAAGAAAAGGAAAAATCAATAACACTGGAAAAGTGTAAATTAGGTTTTATATATAAAAGCACCAATTCCACAGATTTGTGTCTTTTTTTCTTATTGGTACATTGACTGATAATATATTACTTATTAAAATGGTAGTGATATGCATCCTAAACCAAAATAACATCACAACAATTTACTTTTTTCTCCCTGGTTCAGCATTAACCTATTCATTAATTCATAATATGTTTATAATAGCTCATGTTTTGCACAGGAAGAACAACTAATGGAATTTGCAAATATGCATGCATTATAGATAACAGTTCAAGTAGTGTTGGGGCATCATACCTATAAAAAAAAAAAATGCCCAGAGGATTTTTGGGGAATATGGATTTCAAAAGGATGAAATTGATAACACCAATTTACAGTTACAAACAGTTTTATATGGGATTCCCCAGGGTTCAATTCTGGGATCCTTGCTATTTATTTTGTGCATAGTTCGTATTTATGTTTCTACATGTTGTACTCTTTCCAGACAACACTAATAATGATGTATATGTTGTGCAAAGTACATTTACCATCTAATGCAAATACATAGATACAAATAAAATAAAATGAACAGCCTAACATTTAAAAAATAAAGCTAAAATAAAAAAGGGCTTAAGAACAAGTTTCTTAGGGTTACTCTGGACAGTAAACCATATTGGAAATCATGGCTTTTTTCAATCCAAAATGTCATCGTCAGTCCGACATTAATCCAAAGATTTATCAACCAGATATCTTAAGTGCATAGAGAGAGAGAGCCCTTCTGATGATGACAAACCTTGTTTCTTTCTGTCCGGGGGATGCCGCTCCAAACCATCACTCCGCCTTTATCAGAATCGATCAAGAAATTTCTTTACAACCAAATAAATAAACATATATATATATATATATACATATATATATACTATGGTTATGTGTATATATAACTTTTTTGGTTTAAAGAGAAGGAAAAAGGTTTTTCCGGGATATTGCATCTAGCGACAATGAACTTTACTGCAATGAAATAATCGACTAAGATCAAATTTCCTTACCTTTTTGTGGCATATTAGTTCTTTTTTTGAAAACAAATTCCTATTTAAAGTGTAAAGAATCAAAATAAAAACACTCATTCAGTTTCAGTGTTGCATAAGAATAGTGAAAAAGCTAACTATGGCGATCCCAACGATGCACCGTTCTAACCAAACAGCTTCTTAAACATTCAGAATTATAGACGATGCATAACATAATCTTTATAATCTATAAATATTAGGGTGGAAACAATTCATTTAATTTAAAACCAATCACCTAATTTATTATTGACTGGATGACAGAGACTAACAAATGTAATGAGCAGAAAGAGCAACCCACTCAAAGCAGTAATTATACCAAAGTTGTAAAAGCGATATAGTAATTTGCTTTTAAGTTGAAAACTTTTTTTTTATCTTTTGTGATTGACCTAAATGCTAAACATCCAGGTGTAAATGCACTTTTTAGAAGCAAACTGATTACGTAGTATAAATAGGGATGGAGTTTTTTAGCTTGGATTCTTTTTAGTTTTTAAGATGTTTATTTAAAAAAAGTCTTTTCTTTTTTGTTTTTGAAAATGATGAAATTTGAAAGAGGAATGCATTAATACCAAGGCTTCAGTTCCCCAGTTTTTTTTGTTTTTGTTTTAGAAATTTGCATTATTTATCAATCTTTTCTTCCAAGATTTAGTTTTTACTTATGTCCATGATAATCATCACTTTGAATCTTGTTTTTATAATTATGTTATCCTGATAAATGTTGAGAAGGCTCATGATTGGATATAGAATCCTGTTATGGTCCCTAAAGGCTCCCTCTTCGCATCCAAAATAAGTGTTGGGTTTATTTAAAATTCAACAATCCAAAACATCCAAAGATAATAAGTCATAGAACCAGAAAAGACTGAAAATATTGTTTCTTCCAAACAAGTTCATATAAAAAAAACAGGAATTCATCAATAAGCACATGAGACACTTGTGCGTAAAGTTTTATTTTTTGAAAATAAGTGTTTCTGACATCAAACCACTAACATAACTGGTGTGACCCAGACAGACGAGCTACTCGCTGACACTTCTGCTTACCTTATACTCAAATCAAGCATTTGGATCATACGTAGTGTGAAAAAGAAGACGAGTGTCCGAACATTTCAAACGACAAATTTGACTGACTGATACTGCCTCTTTGGGGCGAGACTGATTGTACTCAGTGTCAGTGTGACAGCACAGCTTCATGCACACATCATCCACAGTAGGTCAGCGTTTGGGATCTTCTGCAGGAACTCCCCCCTCCAAAGGTGCGGTTCTCTTAGACATTCTTGCATCTTTTCATTCATTCGTAGTTAAGTTAGGCGGGTCCTGCTGTGAAATGAGCTCCCAGTGCAACTCCCATCACAGTGGCGTTACGTATCTGTTACATGGTGGAAGGTCTTGCACTGCCAGATAATGTCCAAAAAGGTGCAAAAAAGAGACGGAAAACACAAAGGGAGGAAAAGAGACCACTGAGCGCACTGCCATACCTGCTTTAACCTATGGCTGCTTTCCCAAAGAGCATTTAGCACTACAATCCTCTTCACTAATATATATTTGGCACCACGGTGCATTAAGGAATTTCACTCCAAATGAATCAACCAGTGCTGATGGATGCTGGAGGTTGAGTGTTGCTTTGTTGTTCAAGTGGAAATCCAGTTTTTGTCAAACAGGTGATGAATGCTTGGATCTGACTCACCTTTACCTTTTTCAGAGAGCGTTTTACTACATTTCCCACAATGCCTTTCTAGACAGAAGGCTGAAACTTGAAGAAATACTATCAACACAAGTGGATTTTTCTCCTCCGACTCTCTAACACGAATACATTTGCACTTTAATGCGCGTTCTACTCCCCCCCTCCACCCACCGCTCCTCCCTCAGGCGGTTACTGAATGCTACAGGCAGGGCAGCAGGTCTCCCTTCGGTCGGGCAGAGGGCAGAAGTCCATCTGCCTGACGATCTCAGCAAACAGTTCGTCCACCATCGTCTTGCTCTTGGCTGACGTCTCCATGAAGGGGCAGCCCCAGTCCTCGGCCAACGCCTGGCCCTCGCTGGGGGACACTTCTCTCTCGTCCTCCAGATCCACCTTGTTCCCCACGAGCACCACCGGCACCTGCTGGTACCTGCGCAGAAGACAAACATAGGAACTCATTTAAGTTTGTGTGGACCACTAGAACGCCTTTATTTGAACGCCTTTATTTTGAACCATCCAAGCTGGACTTGGCATTTTGCTTCAAATCATAGGTGCATGCAAACTCAAATGATCAGACATCCTCCTTCCGGATTTTACTCAAGGAAGAGTCCCAGACTGCCCCACATTCAGCACCATGCTCTTTCTCAAACGGGATGCAGAAACTGAGACGGTGTTGAATCCTGAACTCTAACCTTAGCCAAAGAAAATGAGTCCTGCGCTGCTGTTCTTGGTTTATTAGTCACCTCTTATATAAGTCATCACTCGTCTCTTGGAGTAATTTTGGTAGGCTTTCTAAAGGTTCTCCACTGCTCCATGAATAGTTTCAAAAGCCAGAGAACTCTTAGTGACTTCGTTATCATGCATTCTTGAAATTTCTTGATCTTTCAACCTTCTTGATGATGTCATGAAGTACTTTCTGTTTTAAAAAGTAAATCCCACCATTTGAAAATCCTTAATCAGGTTTAGGGGTGTCCTTCAGACTAAATTTTGATCGATTATTTGATCAATTAAATGAAAAACTTATAAAGCTGCAGCGTTTTTTAGCCTGCATGCCGCATCTACATTATCCCCCCCAGCAAATAAGAGGTTGCAAAAAAAACACCAGTCAGAATATGCTATAAAACACTGCCTCTTTATCTATGCTTTCATATTTTGTGAAAAATCTCCAAACTTTAAGCACTTTTCTAGAATTAAAAGCTTCTTTGCACAACTTTCTTTCTAACTTTCTTTCCTCTGAGCTATCAATACAAAGAAACCAGGCTGCAGAGACTAATGGGATGAGTTACTGAATAATTGAATAAAGCTAATGTGCTGCTCTAAAATGGGGTGACATGAACATTAGCTTTCGAAGAACCCCCCTCCATGTGCTTATGATATACATTAGGACATTTTACAAGAAGAAGAAGCAAATGTAAGCTGATGTCTAGTTCGGTCGTTTTGTTTGTCTCCGTCCAGCTTTGATGGATTTAGATTCAAGCTTGGTAGGAAAAATAAAGAATAAGGCAAGTCTATTTTAGTCCTTTTTCTTTTAATGTTTGGAAGTAATCAGTCGACTATGGTTTTGCACATTATTACACTACCGCCTCCATGCTTTATTATGAACCCCACCAGCCGGGCTGCTGAACTACATCAAGATAAAAAACAAACAAACACAAAAGGTCATGAAAAAAGAAAACAGTGCCCATCATCACCACAGACCAAGCA